GAGACTGTAATTCAACTGATTATATTTAACATGTGTCTGCTCTAGGTAATCGATGCTTCTCAGAGTGTTGAGGATGTGCACAAGGACATCACAGACCGCAGCCATAAAGCCATCATCAGAGCTCAGAGTCTGCCACTTGGAGAGCTTTGGAAGGAAAACTTGAACCAGTCTGGGTGAAACAGCCATTTTATGGAATGAGATTTAGTTTTGTGTAGTAACTAAATCACTCTTTTATACTTTAAATATCACAATTAAATTTGTATAACTTTCAAATAGCAGTCTGAGTTTATTTTTTGTTTTAATCCTCTTACATGTCTATTGCTCTTTCACTTGTCTATATAGTCTGAGTAAATAAATAATCTTCAAATGAACTAGTTTATATGTTCAGACTTGGCAAGGATACTTTGCATGAACAATTAATACATATCTGCAGATTTTACTAAATTTGGTTTTGTTACAGGCTGTGACAAGACCACTTATTAGTGACAAACCGCTTAAGCCATGGGCATCACGAACCATTATATTTCTATACAGCATAAAACTGTTATGGCAATTTTACTCATGGAATCAGGGAAAGGCACCAGATCACTTCAGAATAAACATTTAAAGTGTTAAGACTCAAATGGAAACACGTGTTTGTGAAGATGTGCAACAACACGTTATCCTGAGCTCCTGCTACGGCTTCCACCAGGCAGTCTCAATGTTGGATACGGAGAGCAATTGGGGGCTGTTGAAGAGACGCTGTGTGACACACACTGACTACACCACTGGAGCTGAACTGGCTCAAGAGGTCTTCAAATAATAATGTTCATCCTCTCGGGGTTCTCATCTGATACAGAGAAGAGAGAGAATCGCCTACTGTCCACAACAGTAAATCATTGTTCATAGATTCCTCACAGGGAAAGGATCTCAAATTCTTCGTCCTCGGAATCAAAGAACCGCTCCAACCGGTCGGAGTCTGAGAAATCTATGATGGGAATGTCAACACAAAGGGAGAAAGGTTAATTAGTTTTCATAAACCAACTGTTTGCTGTGGTGTTTTGCAGAAAGTAGGCTGTTTATTTACCGGGAGTAAGGTTGAGGGTATCCACACTGACCATGTGAGAGGGCTGACTGTCTACTAGTTCAAACATGGGCAGGCCGCCTCTTTTGCAGGACAGCTAGAAGAGAAGAGCCATCATTTCATCATCTACACATTTCTCTTAACTGCTAATGATGAGTCAAAGAAGCAGAAGACACATACCCTTCTTATGCGCATGCACCAGTCATCAAAGTCATCCTCTGTTTTGCAGAAGAAACCCTGGCACACACCAGAAAAAACATCAGCTGGGAATAGAGGTCGAGTGCTATTTGATGAAGTATGGGAGCGCACCTATGCCATGTGCACGCACACAGTAATGTGCACACATTGTAACTGCCCATACAGTCAAACGTTAGACTGACTTTATTCTCTGGTGTCGCACAATAGCAATATGGATCAGCCATTTGTGACAGGGTGAAATGTTATAGCCACAGATAATCCTATTAGAAAGTCACTTTCGGCTTTTCCCGTTTAGGGGCCGCCACAGCGAATCGTCACACAAACGACTTGCATGTTGACATTTGGCACGTGTTTTACACCGGATGCCCTTTCTT